TCTTTTGGAAAAAGGCAAGCAACAAATGCGGACAATTTGCAACCCAATCAGTAAAATATTGTATATTTAAAGTATAAATATGCACAAAGCCAGATAAAGAGCAGAGGAAAAGCTGGTGAGAGTAGAAAGCAACCATCATATAATCAACCAAATTTATCATGTGTCTTAATGCAGCCCCTTCAGTTTAATAAAATCAGTAAAATTGCAATAGCAATGTCAGGAAGGCCCCTCCGATGCCTACATGTACAATACATCTTTATGTCTTCACCACAGGTCCAGGCTTCACGAAAATTACCAACATGAAGTAGGAAATCAATGGCTGTACCATCCACTACCACCTTGCCCGTCCCACTATTCATTGTTAAAGTGATAGGGTGTCTTCATTAAGAGAGTAAGGAAGGGGTGGGCCATCCACTGGCATTCCAGCTTCAAGTCAGTGTTTACATATAAGTGAGGCCTGGCTTTTAGGGGTCTCGGGTTGCTCTAGAAGACATTGAGGTATGGTATTCAGTTCTTACCATAAAATATAAAGAAATGGTGTAGAAAACCACTTGTACATAATTTTTTTATATTTTATGGTAAAAACAGAAAAAAATATAGAACATGTTTTTCTTTTTATTCAGGTAAATATGAACTATTGCTTAAAGGAGAACTATGGGGTCAGTGCTTTTCCCCATAGTTCTCCTAAGGGTCACAGGAGGACACAAACTAGCATCCTCCCGTGACCCAAAGCCGGCTCGAACTATGAGGCTGAGTGATTTTCACTCACCTCATAGTTCTCCTTTAATAATATTTTGCATTTTTAAGAGCTAGCATCAGGTCTGTTCTCCTTTTCCTGTTTAGCATTATACCTTTGCTGAGTGAGTACTCAGAGCAGTGACTCGTCCAATATCAGATGGCTTAGTATGAGGTTTATAGGGATGCAAAGCAAGCAGTGTAGATGTGCTCTCTCTATAGGTAACCTATAGTGCTCTGGGAAACAAGTACTTTTTTCAAACATGAACTGTATGACAAAAGATTCTCAGAGCACTATAGGTTACCTATAGACAGAGCACAGCTACACTTTGGCTCTGCAGCTCGTTTTTTCTAATAAAAACCTCATACTGAGCCAACTGAAAATCTCTTTGAAGCACTGTAAAAGTATACCAAAACGCTTATGAATTTCAGATATTCACTATGATTAGTGATGATTATCTGAAACATGCAAGTGTACTACTCCTCAGTTATGATATTAGTTTTATACCCAGACTCATTATTAGTTCAATAAAGGTAATAGTAGGCATTTGATGGTACCTGTTCTGAGGCAGGACTTCTACGATGAAAGTAAGGCTGACAGGCTTACTTTACAAAACATGATAAATGAGGTTGAATGTGAGGAATTAGGTCACAAAGAAAATGCACTGTTTGTTTGCAAATGATCTGTTTTGCCTGCTAAAATAACAAAAAGGAAGTGGAAACTAATATATGCTTTCCAGGAAAGAGGATTCTGCCTCTCATTTCTTGCTATGGTATACACAATATTTCTATCATTGTACATTATATTTTTGTAAATGGAAAGTACTTATTATATTATTGTGCACCACAGTAAACAGATTGCCACAGTTATTATAGCTTTATATCACTGTCATGCTTTTCCTTTTTTGTTTCTACTGAGCTTTCCAAAATAGCTTTGAGGTGTAAATTCTAATTAGAATACAGGAACAAGAAGTGATCCTTGCCAAAAGCTTATTTATTACAATAGACAGAGTAAAAAATTGAAGAACAACCCTATTTATGCTAATAATTAATATGTTGCAGAAGTAGCTAGGGCCTTGGTGTCAGAGTTCCAGCAGACTTTGGCAAATAGTTCTATGCCCTGCTTTGTATTTTTTTTACCATAAGGTTTCAGTTTGAGCTGCCTTGAAGTAGTGATATGTGGGAACGAAAACAATTCTTAGCTTGATAGCCTGTAATTTACGCCACCTCCAAAACTACTAATTATAATAACATGCTAGTTGAGGGGTTAATACCACTGCTGTTTAGGAGGCGGGGAGACATTTTTCCCTTGTCACAGTAAAACAAAACATGCTTAAACGTTTCCTTACCTTGGAGCAAGTGTGATTTATATATATATTTAATTGATTAAATATACCCATTATTTATTTTAATTTTTTTGACTTACTGAGCCAGTATTCACACTGTGAGCTTGTTGAAATTAAGAAGAGGTGCCTACATGCTGTCTATGCTATTGCACGTTTTTCCTGCAACCACCTTTTAACTGGGGGTAGCTAGTTTTTATTTTATTTTTCCTGGGGGTTCAACTCTCCGAAATTGTAAGTTTATCTAGCTGACATACCCTGGACATTACAGGGTACAATGAAGACAAAGGAGGACTAAAATAGGTCATATTGGTGGTGTCAGTAAAATAAGCCTTATACATTAGTGGATGTAAAGAGGTTCCATTACTCATGTCAGTGGTGGAAATAAGCCCCATTGTTTGCTGGCAGTGGGATAGAAATAAAAAATCTACATTGACCACCAATATAATAGAGGGATGTACATGCTTGCCTGGGGCTGTATGTAATAAATGTGGGCACATTTCTGCACCTGGGAGCCACAATTTGGTCTCAGGAGGAAATCTCCAATATTACTTTTTTGTGTAAAATGTATCAAACTATATTTAACTTTACTATACGTACAAAATAAATGTAAGTAACAAAAATGAAGATGAATGTCATAACATAAACACACTTACATATGTAAGATTCCTTTAATATTGCCATATCAACCAGCCTAAAATTGTTTAAATTGGCACTACAATTACCAATATATTTCTCTTGGGCCACAGCTGTCAATTGATCAGTTTAACCCAATAGAATATAACATCTAATCTGAATATATGGCAACATTTTAGGTCTGGATTATTTTTAAATAAGTACTCGAGCACACACATATGTCAACAGCACAAACCCTGGTAAGAAGTTGAAATCCGATGTATTGTGATCTCAAAAGAGTGCTTTATTAAATAAGACATGGAACACATCACTCACTGTTGGAACTGTTAGCAGTGTGTTTTAGTGACGAGTGAACCTAAGACACATAGTACCAGTCACTGCAAACCTAAATAGAAGTTAGTACTGTTATGGGGGCACACCTACCCCCTTATCCTTATCCTCCACATCCTCATGCTGCTCAACCTCGCATGCGTCTGATGAACTCACCAACCGCAAGGTCTTCAAAAAATCTCGTTCTCTTGGCTAATGAACACAACAGACAGAAAGAGAAGGCAAAGCAGAAACACAAGACAGACCACAAATGAAGAGAAAAGTATGAAAAGAACATAATAAAGAGGAGGTATACAAGGCAAAAGAAGAAATGACCACCAAACAAAACAATTATGAATCTCTGGGGGACCCTAAAAAAGTTTAAAGAGAATTGGTGCCAGAGGGCTAGATTATATGCCAAATTACTTCTTACTTTCTTATGACCCAAGAAAAATACCATCACATCTATCAAAACCTTTCTGTACTTCTTGGCATATGAGCGTTGTGCAAACTGTTGGCGCAATATAAATCCTGTATAATAAATCCTGTCAAATGATAACGATAAAAAATTATAATATATGCAAAATTTTATTTGAATATAAAAATACTGAGGATAAGAAACTCTATGATTTCTTGTTTTGTTCTGGTTTTTTTTTTATTGTTTTTACAAATTTTACACCTAATCTTTCATTGCATTATAGGCAGTTGACAGTCTAGCAATTACTTGTAATCACCAACAGCATGTTTTCATTAACATCTCAATACATTCCGATAATCTGGTTCTTTACACATTAAGTTATAGATCTAAATGTCTTTTAAATCGACTGTAGGTACCAATGTCTATGCGTTAAGGAGCATGCACATGAACATGCACATACAGCATTTATTTGCCATTGCTGAAATCATGGTGTTACCAAAGTCACAGCCAAGTCTGTTGTAAAGTGGAGAGAAGACAAACACACCAGTGCGCTACATAGTGACTACGCAATGGAGCAGTAATGCATAAAAAGTGCTCTGCAAGACAAAAGTCTGTCTCTAGACCTTATGGCACCCATTCTAAGGAATTATTTGAATCAAGATTTAAATGTTTTTAGGACAACTATATAATTATTTGACCATATATGGACCAGCAGAATTGCAAAAGGGTAGTGCTGTCGTGAAACTACAAATAATTATTAATCATTCATTCCATAATGAACAATGAAAATGTTAAAGGTGCCCAAGGATGGACTTGTCTCACACTGAGAAAGGTACAACTGTGTATTGTTGGGGCTGGTGAGACAAATTTTCCAAAAGTCTTTTGGAAGACTAGTAATAATAATAAGCCCGTCTAATGCCACTACATCACCAGATTACATTGGTCACAGTGTTTACATATATAAGACCACATACGGACCTTACTGTCAAAAATAAAATTGCTACTTTGTGCCTCTTTGATAACTTTAAATTAAAAAAACAGAAAAGGCTTCTGACTGCAAATAATCCGATCATAAACTTATCAAATATCCCTGACATGCAGAGACTGACTACAGTACATCTGAAATGTATACATAGTTTTCTCAGTTTAGTAAATATTTTTATATTTATCATTTGCTGACTCGCTTTTCTGTTTTCACTGCTTTCCTTGATTCTGTGAAGCTAGCATGGGCACCACAAACATGGTATGCTATTTTAAAAAAATGCTTAGAAGCAACCTGACAAAACGCCATCTAGCACCAAAACCTTGACTGTAGCAATTATTTGGGACAGTTCATGATAGCATATTAATACGTGGAATATGATTCAACAGGATTATTAGAAGTAGCAAGGAAATACAACAAATTGCAAGGGTTGCAAGGAAATGTAACCTTAACCTACACTAAAAGAATGTACAGTTCCCATAGGAGAAATGTTTTACAATTTACATTGAATAAAGGGCGCTTTAGTTGTTCTTGTATTACTTTCAAAGAATACAAAAGATTATAAATGAGATCTTACCAGGGTATCTCCAGAGAGGACTTCTAAAAGGGATATTAAGTTATGCCCATCTCGTAAATCTTCATATAGGTCACCCACATGTTTCCGTACCTGCACAAAGAGAAAAAAAGACCCCAGGTAAGTAAGCAAGCTTTCAGTGTATTACAATTAAATCTATTCAGTTTACTGATTACACAATGGAAACATTTTAAAGAAGCTTCTATAATTCCATTTGCTTGCTACAAACATTCAATCATCCATAGCTCGTGTTTATGACACCAGACAGGAGGTGAGGAAAAAATCTGCCGGGACTCAGCCCTCGTTCACACCTGAACGTTTTGTAGCGCGTTCTACGCTCGACGAACGCTCTACAAAACGCTCAAAAATATAAATCCCATTGTATTCAATGGTCTCGTTCCCACCTTGGCGTATTTCCGCCCGTCCCTAACGCGCTACAAAACGGCCCACGCCTGAAAAGGTACATGTACTACTTTGGGCCGTTTTGTTGCGCGTTTCCATTGGGATACAGCCAAGTAGCCTTCGGAAACGCGCGACGGTCGCGCGACTTTTTTTACCTCGAATCGCTGTAAAAAACGCACGACAGGCGCGCATATGCAATACGCCTAGGTGTGAACGAGACCTTAGGGATAAAAATAAAAGGATGACAAAGACTCTAGTACTTTCCTAGTCTTAAAACCAAAATGTTTGTTTATGCCTGTGTTACTGCTGGAGAGTTACCCTAGCTTCACATCCGGTAAAACAGAAAGTGGAAATGGATGGTTAATTATCTACTGGAGCCCCAGATTGTAGTAAAAACCCAACATGGGTTATAGTTCACTATGCTCCAGCATAAGTCCAATATGCTCCAAGATGGGGATGCACTGGGGGCTTCAGCTGACATTTTTTATATGCTAGGCCCCCAGTGCATCTCAATGCATTTAAGGAGGAATGGGCTAGATCCAGGCATACCTGCACTCAATTTCTCCACTGCTAGAAATGCTCTAAGATGGAGGCTCTCATAGATAAGAGTTAGGACCACACTACACAGAGGAGCAGTGACGAGGCAGTGTGGCTTCCACATATTTTGCAAAAGTGGTGCAACTAAAACTTCTGCTTTTAACGCACACTGTTAGATAGTGAATATTGTTTTTACTGCAGGCTAGTTGGTAGGATAACTTCCTATTGGCCTGGGTTTTCAGCCACACAATTTAAAGACTATACCCTATCATGGCATCTCTTCTGCTTTTATGTTGTTTCTTTTTAATGCATTACCAATAAAATGTCCCAAAGTGCACAAGTTCCCCTCATGATGTTTGTAACAGGTAGACAGACCTGAGAACTAAAGTATACAAATCGGGCTACCAGACTCCCCCATAAGAAGCAAGTAGGTGAATTCAATGTATCACTGTAGACTAAAGTATAATTTTTAGTAAACACTTTTTAGAAGTTGCAGTCATAATGCCATACGTCATATGTGGATTGATGGTGATGAGAAATGAATAGTGTGAGTAAAAGTCTCCATTAAGTAGAATACGTAGATAACAGCTGTATGAGATATACTGTATGCATTATTCAGTACATACAGCGACACAACTGTGTTTTCACACAATGCTGTAAATGAAAGGGATAGGCTTTACATTACTATGTAGATCCTAAGACAAGATCCAGTCCAATTTCTCTAACAGGGTTACTCACAAAAGGGTGAAGGGTTTGGAGAAGGCAGGAGAAATTAACAATCTAGGCCAATATAGCTGATTTGGAAAAATTCTCCAATTCAGCTTAATTTCCGGTTCAGTTATGTTCTCCTAGATTTTTCCCTTCTCCTGCCTTCTCCAAACTCTTCACCCTTTTGTGAATAACCCTGTTAGTCTCACATATAACTATTACCTAGTAAATCTTTTCTCCAGCTCTACAGTAAGCCGTGTTCATTTATTTTATTTCTGCATACAATGTTCTATGGGAAACAGGTAATTTTTTTCAGATTCCTAAAAACACTACAACATTTCATGTATATTCATGTAAAGCCAGGTTTCAAATTTTCAATCGGTTTAAATGCAGTTGCACAACCCATGTGCCTAGATATTGCTTGCCAATTACTGCTCTTGCCAAAAAATCACAAAAAAAATCCAGATACATTAAATTCTAACCTACAATCTTCATATTAATGCAATTTACATGCATTTCTACTCTTATCTCCACCAACAATGCCACCTTTCCCCCCCATTCTGTTACTGACCTACAACAGCCAGGCTTCTTGGTGGACCTATGTTATGAAATCCACTGCGCTGGACACTAATGTACAAGTGTATCTATAGGCAAAACTTGTTTTTTTTAGTTTTGGTTAAAGTGGGGAAGATTAAAACCCTGTCAGGTTTTACTGCTATCTGGGGAACCGTCTGGCAGATTTCCCCTAACTTTCTGTTCCGCTACAGGGCAACAGACAACAATAAAAAGCTCACAACGATAGCAAATCTCTGCATTACAGGAGGAGCAGAATACTTTAACAGTAGGGCAATATTACTCCAAATCGGTCCTCCAAAGCTGCCACCACATAAATCCCTCCAAACAGGAATAAGAAGCACCTAAATATATAAGGAACGTGGGGTGTTTCTAAGATAAGAATGCCAGGTAATTCACTAAAGCATGTTTTACCTGTAAAAAGATGAGCAATTCTTTTCAGCTGGTTTTGTGATAACCCCTGTAAAACACCATAGCTGGATATTCCTGCCGACTATACTGCAGCTAAATATTACAGTTTGGTCCAGGACCTGCCCCAGCCTGTGCATAATGATAAAGTCTTTTCTGTGTTCTCCCCTCCAGTAAGCAAGTTCACAGTGTTAGACATCACTGTGCAAAACAAAAGAGATCTGACTGGCTCACTGTGCTGACTCTTTCTCTAATGTTGTGCTTGCTGCCGTGCAGAAGATAAAAGGAGGTTGGAATCAAGGTAACAGTGTAAGGTAAGGTTTCTGTGGAACAAATGGTGCTTCAAGGTGTCAGATGATTTCTGTAATTTCACATTGCCCAGAGTACCCAGAGCAGTCTTCAACACACTTCCTCCAGTTCTAAAAATTAGTATCCGCACCGCTGTAGGCAGTCCCCCTCATGTGACAATGCTCAGACCAGGCAAAAATCACATTTTGGTGCAGCAAATTAGGTATTTAAAGGTGCTAGATCACACCTCCCCAGTTCCTATGTGGCAATGTTTATACCAGGTTTCCTTCTGCTGATGAGTAAAGGTGTAAGATCACACCTTTATTTGTTTAGAGTCCCTACAGCACTGTGGCAATCCCCAAAGGCCCTATGCATATAATAACTTCTGAAAATTTGGCATTTGCAAAATAAGTCAGTCCAACCTCCCATATAACACTGCTCAGGCCTGACAATTCATCACAATGCCATCAAGAACTAAATGGAGTTATGTTGAAGGCGTGTTATTCTCTTTATACCAGGAAGTAATATGCCTACTCAGTGTAAGATGTACAGCATGACAGGGAACAAAGCAAACATTTCTGCAAACACAGTCATAACCAAGTTTACTACAACTTAAGTAAGGGCAAAGTAAACCAACTAAAGAATCATATTAGAGACACAAATAAAAGACAATAAAATAGGATAAGGGAGGGTAAAGGAAAGGGGAAGGAAAAGGGAAAAGGGGAGGGAAAGGAAAAGGAGGAGGTGGATCTATATCTATAGGTTCTATTCTTTAGATTATTTTCTATAGATTTACTCATGCCCTCAGAATACCAGTAACATAGCACGTTTCACTACCCTTGAATGCAATCCAAAACTTCTGTATCCATGTAAATATATTCACTGTAGAGAATAAAGCATGAGTCAGAACAGTAAAAGCCATTGGCTAGTGAGATTTTCCACTGACATAAAAAATCCTACAAAACTATTACACACTTGCCATTGGAATTTAGAAAGTAAAGTAACCCACGACAATGTATAAGAAATAGTCTTTGAGCCTGAAAGAACGTCTGTCAAATTAAATCTGAGTGGCTAATATACAGTTGAAACTCGAATAATTAGAATATCGTGCAAAGTTAATTTATTTCACTACTGTAACTTAAAAGGTGAAACTAATATATGAGATAGACTCATTACATGCAAAGCAAGATAGTTCAAGCCGTGATTTGTCATAATTGTGATGATTATGGCTTACAGCTCATGAAAACTCCAAGAACCCCAAATCCACAACCTCAAAAAAGTAGATTATTACATGCAATCAATAAAACAAGGATTGTACATAGAACAATATCAGACTTCTGAAAAGTACAAGCATGCATATGTACTCAGTACTTGGTTTGGGACCCTTTTGCAGCATTTACTGCAATTACTTTTGCACGATATTCTAATTATTCGAGTTTCACCTGTAGGTTACAGCACGGAACATTCTTGTCCCTTTTTGTCCGGTCTAGTGAACCTATGTGGTCACTTACAACAATCAGTCAATAAACAAACTGGCACCATATCTCTGTCATAATCTTTACATCTGTTTGCATACCTGGTGTTACTAGGTAAAAACTGGAGGTATAAATAAGATGAAAGGAAATTCTGATGAAGTAATTACATGGCAATTTCCAGAAGTCTAGGTAAGCAAAGTGATCGGGTCTCACAAAACAGCCAAGGACCCAAAAGCTTTGTTCCTTCATGAAACAGATGCTGCTTTGAGCTATGATGCGATGCTGGCTTGTAGGACAAAGTTGAGGACACACAGCAAAAAAAGACCTGAATATTTTGGTAAATATGCCTGGACCTTAAAAATGGTGCATACAGGACCACACATACATGAGGAAGCAAATGGAGTAGTATGCACTGGTATGAATAGCATATGCGATGGCCAGAGAGGCAGTAGCTGAAGTATGGCCAGAGGGAGGGAATTTGCTATAAGAATTCTGAAGTTGTGTGTTTATGTGTTTCACATATGTTCATGTGCTTTGCTGCTTTAGCTCTTTGCACTAAAATATGAGGTTCTGATAAGCACTTCCTGCAGTATTTTGTCCGCTGAAAAGTGAATCTATGTTTTACCCATGCAGGGCAAAGCAACAGCTTCTCTTTACTGGTGGCCCCACCACTTCACTTCACTGCCCTGCTGCTCTGTTTGGTCACTAGGAACAAAGAGAGTTAGTTAGGTATAAACTTTGGGACAGGTTCACATTTAATTAATGTCACAAAATTTGAACCAGCCATACAGGAATTGTATTTTCCCTGCCAAACCATTAAACCTAAAATGAACAGTAGAGATACATGTAGCAAAACATACACATTTCCCAAGGCTGCCTGTTGGGGCCACCTATCACATAAAAGGACCAACAGATGGCTCAGGCGCTACATAGCAAAAGTTCAGATTTGCATATCAATTCAGTCGCCTGTCTCTCACGATTATTTTAACATTTTCACAGACAATATCAGGTAAAACACGATCAGTTTGAAATTCCCAGATTGAGATTTATTTGTAATGCACCACTGCCTGCAGCAACATAAATCTAAAAGTACTGCAAAAGTGTAACTGGAGTCCTTTATGTTGCTAGATGATGTCATACCTTGTCACTCCACATTCTCCACATTGCTTTGTTTACATAGATACCACAATACATGCATTTTATTTACATCTGTTACTCAGCAGTTTCATCTTTTCTACACATATTATCATTAGTTGGTATTATAAGAATGAAAATCATGAATTCTAGATAGACTTGCATGAAAAACATAAACAACTTTGCTGCCAACTTTCTACTCTGTAAACCAGCTGTAATTCTTTTGAAATCCGTAATAACGGCATAGCAACAGATCCTTAAAGTGGTGAAGAACTACCTAAATCTGTTGCAAGTGTTGGTAAAGCTACAAAAACTGGCAACAGGTTTTTTAGAATTTGGCACAGGACTTTTTTAAAGGCCCATCCTGCCAGAAAACTGGCACAATTCTTTTACGGATCCCCCTCCAATGTATGTATTACTTTGATATCTTAAGTATTGACAATCTCATCGTCAAATAAACTGGCTCACAGTGGAAATGTAAATTTGCTCTGATTCTTAAAGAACTTTGGCCAGTTAAAAAATGAATACTTGCAGTGGGGCTATCCGCCGCACTGCAAGGGTTACGTGCTCATTTTGGTCTAGGGACTAAAATAAAAAAAGATATGCTCACCTGATCCTGGGTCCCACCTGGCTGCTAGACCGATTTCCGCAGCATCCTCTTCCCCAGGCTCCAATGGTCTAATGATCCATGATGTCATCACATCTATACAGTCAATTAGAGGTGAAGACGCAGAGGAATATTCCACAGGCATATCGGAGAGGGAGAAAGGTCAGCAATCACCACTACAGGGCCAAGGATCAGGTGACTACATATTTTTTTTATTTTAGACACTAGACCAAAACAAGCACTTAACCCTTGCAGTGTGGGGCTACCCCCACACTGCAATTGTTAATTTTTTTAACTGCCCGCAGTCCTTCTTTAAAGAGGTATACGAGCTTGAAATCTGAAGTGGTTAAAAATGTGCTTTAGAATATGAACTTACAATACAAGAATCTGTTAGAAAGCAACAACACAACCAAACAGAATTGTGTTAACTGTAATTGTGCTTCATTCACTACTTCTGGCAGTACAGCAACTCTAATAACAGTGTAAAATAACTGTGGGTTTCCAGGCTGTTATTTCAAAATGTGTCAATGTTTTTCTCCATTTCAGGACTAGTCTCTGCTTGATTCTTCCTAATTTAAAGCATGTATTTGCTGAGAGACATTTTGGCAGTGGTTACCATGTGTTGGTAGGCACTGACAATAAACATGAAGAGAGCAGGCTAATGAGAGCATGATCTGAGTCATATTCCTGTTCATAGTGCAGCATTATTCCTTAGGGTGGGCCATGAATATCATGCAGTATATTCCATGCAGTCTAGCCAGTGATCTACTCTTCTAAAAAGACACTGAACTCGTCCTTCTGAAATGCCTAACTCCTATTACTATCATTTCATCCGCACACAACCAAGAAACACTGCTTCTTTTAAGCAACAAGAAATTCATACTTTTTCCTGAACAGCTGGGGATAGACATCAAGCATCATACTGAATGGCCAGAGAGCTTTAAACGTAAGCAGTTTAAAGGAGAACTTTGGGGTTAGGGCTTTTCCCCATAGTTCTCCTTAGGGTAACGGGAGGACACAAACTAGCGTCCTCCCGTTACCCTAAGCTCAGTATACCGCGACCTACAGCTCACGGTATACTGAGACGCCGTAGCTCGCGGTATACTGAGAGCTACGTGGATCCCAACAATTATGTCTGCAGCTGAAGTGGATCCCAACAATTATGTCTGGATCCGCCCAGCTGCATGAGTGACAGCTGGCTCTGCCTATCTAGAGGCAGAGCCAGCTGTACCCGCCCCCTCCCCCGTCCGTTCCGCCAGTCAGCGCTGGAGGATCGGAGCGGGGAGGGGGGAATCCAGTCCCTCCCCTGTCACGGCAGAGAGCCGTGACAAGATCGAGAAGTGAGCGAACGCCAATATGTGTTCGCTCACTTCCCGATCTACTGAGACGACCTGTGACAGTCTCATTGTCACAGGTCGGCTAGAACTATGAGGATGAGTGAAAAGCACTCACCTCACAGTTCTCCTTTAATGCTGCTTGACAAACTTTATATACTTTAAGATACAAAAATAAATAAATCAGGATCTGAATTTCTGATATTTTAATTTTTAGAATCAGATATTTACTGTGCATGGGCATTGATCAACAGCTATGAATGCATGTGATTGGTTTCTTCATTGATAATGTCTTGGTTAGATTTACACAAAAGAGAATGATAACATGAGCCGTCTTCAGCATTCTTATAAATATGCATGTTTCTCCAAACATTAATATATATTTTTCCTGAAAATGTATGGTTCACTTATTATTTGACATTTCACATGTAGTAGTAGATCTAATCTCCTATGTGAAAGCTAAAAAGAGACATAAATACAAAGCAGGTGCTGTTAGACTGAAGCTCATGTACTTCTACTGCAAATAACAAATTGCCAGCAGCAGAATAACCCGGAAGAGGGTTTCACTTGTCTCTAAGGAATTATCCCTCATTGAGCCAGCATTCTGCTGAATCTCCCTCAATAGCAAAGGAGCAGTGGGGGAGCGACATCTCATTCTCCTGGCACTGGTGACTTGTCTCCAGCCACAGGATTGCTTGTGTGACATCAGAATTAGAAACTGACTGAAACCCAACTTTAGCCTCTCTGTTGTGAACTTTGAGGATTAGCTACTCCACAGTACCAGCAGCTACAGAGGTCAGGGAGGGCTCGTTTTAAAGGTTATGGCAAAGTTCAAACACAGTTTTCTAAAAATGTTACTATGCTTTTTGCCCCCTGGTCTAAACCACTCTCTTCCTCCTCCACTGCATACTTACCTGGTTCTGGTACCCAGTTCAACTATATCCTGCTTAAATGTTTACCCTTGGCTGGCTGGTCCTCTTTTTCCTGCTGCCTGCCTTCCGAAAGATGGAAAAAATCACAATGGAAGTCTATGGTATTCTACTGCGCACATGCAGGCAACAGAAAGAAGAGGACCGGCCAGAGCTAAACACCATGGCGTAATTCTGCTTGACTGGGTACTTGTTTTTGTTAAGAATATGTAAATATTTTCATGTACATAATCTAGGCACACGGGCAGTTTAACCTCAGCTCTATATGTGGCCTTGTAAGGATTGTATAATGTGACCAGGGACTGGTTTCTTTAAGATCTCCTTTATAGATAAACATTTAATTCTATTTGTATCGATAGTGATAGTGATAAGAGATCTTTGGCATAAGGTTTGGACCTTACATATGTCCTGGGCCCCTGATGTAAGGACTCTAAAGCACTGCTGGCAAACCCCATAATTATCACTTTCTGGTGACCCTTTTTCAGATATCTTAGAGGTCCAAAGCTGATCCTACTTTTAGATCCTTGTCAAAGCTGATCCTACTTTTATATACATGGGTGACAGAAGCCATTTATACAATATATAATGATATGTGATTACTCACCTTCATTAGGTGCTGGTTAATCCATTTGGTAAATGTCTTCTTTTGCACTTTGTCTCTTTCATCTAGAAATAAAAAGATAAACTGTTAAAACAATCTGATTTCTTTCTATCTATCTATCTAGCATAAAACTGTATTCATCATGTCACCTATTCCAACAACAGACACAAAACATGTATGTTATCTTATCTCATAGTATGTATGATATACAAGAAACAGACAGAGGTTGTAAATAGACTCTACAGCACAGTCAGTAGTTGATTCTATCTCACTTGACAACAGATTTTGCCAAAAATTGTGATAAAGAAACAACTTATTGCAAATTTATATATAAATACAATTCTTTATAAATTGTATCTGTACTTTGCTCAACAGATTTGCTTGAAAGCCCACCCCTCTGCTACTGACATTTCAAAATGTGCCACCCCAACCACACTGTCCAATTTACATGTTGCAGCCCTGTGAAACACCAGATATTCTTAGGGTGTGGGGAATATGTGGGTTTTCCCTTTTTCTTCCCACCAAGCAGACCTGGGTGTCCAAGAGACCAATCTCTAGACCCAAATGCCAAAAATAGATTAAAGTGCAATGGGGCCCTAGTGAAGGCAGCAGCATTGGCCACTCCATTCCTTTGACAATAGGAAGGACAGTCATGGGTACAGAGAAGCCACCCCATCTGCTCTATCTGCATTAGCATGGCCTGCCCCATCAGACACCAACCATCTACAAGTGCAACCACCTTTGTGAAATGTCAGGCAGGCACACAGCTTTGATCAACAGCGCTATCCCTCTGGTTTACTACAGGAGCATGATGGTTCACTCCCGTGATGGACTACAATCTCAGATTTAGTTAAAAAAAATGTTTATTGAGATTGTAGTCCATCACTGGGACGAGCTTGGAGCGGTGGCTACTTTACAACACACACCGGCACCATGAGGAACAAAAGTAGCCACCCTCCAGAAGGAAGGACAGTGCCAGCACCAATTCAGAGATGATTTGATGATCTACAGCGGAGTGATACACAAATAAGATACATTTTTGTTGATAGTTAGGGTACTTGAATGCATTTTTAAGGTTTACCTCCTGAGTTTAGTGGCACTTTAAATTTCAATTTCTATCTATCTATCTCTCTATCTATCTATCTATCTATCCATTTACTGTATGAGCACTAAGGCCAGGTTCATACCCAGGCGATTAATCGCGCAGATTTAGCAGCGCGATATCGTACAAAACAGAGATTTGCATTCAAGTCTATTGAAGCTGTTCACACCTTTGCGATTTATCACGCGGTAGAAATCGCCTGCCATGCAAAAAGGTGCAGGAGCTATTTTCGGGCGGGTGTCGCGCGGTTTGGGTCCTATAGACATCTCTAGGCATTGAAAACCATGCGACAACCGCGCAGTTTTTAAAGCAAAATTGTGCAAACAAAAATGCACGAAATCCGTGCGAAAATAGCTCACCAGCTCAATTGCCCAGGTGTGAACCTAGCCTAAATATACAGTTTATGTAATATAGTTTATTTGCCTTTTATATTCTGTTGTAAAACTAAAAAAAAAAACACATACAGTTAAAACATCAAATTGTTATACAAGACAGCAATGAGATCAAATGTAGTATGTAGAAGGCACATATCCCTTTTGGACTAGTTGTTCCTCTGTCTCATATTTTCAGCACAGTTATGATTTAGTCAATTTAGCTAAATTGATCGTATTCGATTATTGTCAGAACAAGTCATTTGAATAGGAAAAGAAAGATCAAATATTGCAACAGTGTAACAGTCTCAAAAGAATTGAGCAATCCAGGTGAGTAAAAATAGAAATAGCTCAGACTTAAAACAAAGACCTATTTATGATCCCTCTACCCCTCTGAAAGCATGTCTTCTTAGCACCATGCCAGGCGAGTAAACACTGACATCTCACAGCTACACTGTGTTAATAAGTCAATAAGTGCCCAGGAGTGGCAGACACCACATCACAAGCAGTAGAAGAGCAGAGCATGGCACATACTGACCCATACAGCACATCAGAGATACCAGCACCGCATTCAGATCCTGTTCACTGCTGTACAGATGCCACATCATTCTTCCAGCACCTCTTCTTGTCAAATTAAAGTAGATTTAGCTTTTTGCAGTGCAGGAAGGAAAATTCACTGACAGGAGAAGCTCCGCCTGCTAGACTAAAACCAGCAGCAACTCCCATTTAAAAAAGCCACACAAGCCAAAGCTGCCGTTTCTGTTTTACCTGAAGTAAGAAGACAACATCTAACTTCAGTAACATTTTTTTTTTTTTAAAGCTGAACTCCGGGCACAAAAACTTTTATTTTAATATATTTCTCAATAGCCACAAAGGATACAGATCCTCTCTGTGTGCATCAAATGCCTTTAAAAATCCAGATATTAAGTTATAAAAGTAGCAGTGATATCATAATTGTGCTGTGCATTGCCTATGCAGAGAGCAGAGCTGTAAGAGGGGTCCAGCTTGCCCCACCCACTACAGGCTGCTTGCAGAGAACTACAAGAGGGGGTGGGGACCAGACCAGTCACCCTGTACAAGGAGAGAGAGCAGTAGTGACCGTTCTTGATTACAGGAAGCTCCTGGATTACTGCACAGATGTGGAAGAAATACACAAAACACCTCATGATTCAAATAGGAATCCACATGACTTATGTATTTAGACAATATTTGAGTTCAGCTTTAAGATTTCTATCTTTTTTTTTTCTGTGACCTCACTGGGGAGATTTCCCTCCTACTGTCTCTGTGGCACCCATATAAGAAAATGCGGAGAGCAGTTGTCACCTGGAATGGAAGGCAGAATAAACCTTTGTCAGAATTTTTAACCTATCCCCACTCCACTCAAATTGGTTTTTGCTCTCCAATTTTTTTCCAATAATTTCCTGTCCTGACAGCGAGTGAAGAGATTTCTTCCCAACAAGGACACTAATAAAAACTAGGGATGCACCAATACCGGTTTTTCGGTATGGAGTACGAGTACCGATATTTTGCTTTCGGTACTCGTCGATACCACGTACCGATACCGGTGCTTCCGCTGACATGGAGTCGGCTTCCCGGGCAATCTGATTGCCCAAGAAGCCGGCTCCATGTTGCCTGGCCGGCTTGATTGTGCTTGGCCCGGGAAACCGGCTTCCCAGCCAATCAGCATCGAGCCAGCTTCCCGGCCAATCAGTAAGCCAGGTGGCAAGTAATGACCCGCCTCCCAGCTTCCTGATTGGCCCGGAAGACGGCTTGATGCTGATTGGCTGGAAAGCTGGCTTCCCAGCCAATCAGCGTGGAGACGACTTCCCGGTCAATCAGGAAGCCGGGAGGCAGGTCATTACTCACTGCCCAGCTTCCTGATTGCACTGGAAGCTGGCTCCCTGGTCCCCTTCCTCTGACCGGAAGTTCGGTGCATCCCTAATAAAAACCTGCCAGGGTCTCTAATCCTTTCCTGCCCTATCCAAAATAAAACAGAATGGGGGAAATGTATTAAAACTAGAGCAGAAAGAATATGAAGCAGCTGTGAATAGCAACCAGTCAGCTGATTGAGAGAGATAAGCTGATTGGTAACTCTGGCAACTGCTCCAGATTCTATCTGCTCCAGTTTTCATAATTTCCCCCCAATGTTTTTGCTGGAGTTGAGCTTTAAGAACTTATTAACATCATAGTGAAGACAAACCACAGCCAAGCCAGTCTTTCAAGATTCATACTGATCAAACAAAAAGGGGAACTCCAAAATGTTTTGTTTTTTTAGTTTAGGAATGGGCTGGAGAAAGTTTAGAACTTCAGATTGAAGATTTGTATTCCTGTCTTGTCCTTGTGTGAACAAACAGCAGACAAAACACGTTCCACTCTAAAAGCAAAACACTTTGGGGGGAATTCTTGGAAACTGAAGCAGACAGTTTTCATAGGGAAAGCAATCAGCTTCTCTCTCCAGTCTGTTCATTTAAGCTTTGAAAATGAAAGAGGGAAGCTGATTTGTTGCCATGGACAACTGCTCCACATTTGATGAATTCTCCCCTTTGTCCCCTTTGTCTGGAGTTCACCTTTATGTAAAGATTCAACCAGACTCGTTACACACTCATTACAACACAGCGGGGTGCTATTTAGAAGTATTCTACCAGGCCAATTGAGTAGCTGATTAAAAGTGGTTCCCCGTGGTGCTGCATTTACTTGTAGTCCATATTGCCCAATGAATAAGTACTATGACACAATCAAAAGAAACAAACCCATGACTAGATTTCTGATTGCTTCTTCTAGATTACTACTGTACATTTTGCATACTCATCTTCCTTAAAGTCAACTGAAGTCAACACTTTTACTTTTACTCTTGTCACATTGCAACGTTTTGGGTCCACTCAGGGTCCCTTCCTCAGGCATGGGAAACTTTTTGCTGTTGCACTGTATAAAGCCCTTCCATGTGCACCTTGCTTGAAAGCTGGTTATGAGTTGATGAGTGCGTTTGCCATTTGTTTTGCTTGACTGATTTGGTGCAGTGACACACTGGGGGTCTCCTCTGCCGTTGTGATTTGCGGGGTCCCTTGTGTGTCCCTGTGCCTTTAAGGGGGTTGGGCTTCCTCCTGACAAACCTGCACCCAATTTTATCTTTTGCTACATGTGCTCCAAGATGGAGACTCTCATAGGTTTGAGTTAGGAGGCTTTGACGAGGCAGTGCGGCTTCCACATATTCTGCAGAAGACGTGTATCTAAAACCTCTGTTTTTAACCTTAGTGGTTAGACAGGTTTTTTTTGCATGCTGGCTGGTGAGTGTGCTGGGAAACTTTTTGCTGTTGCACTGTATAAAGCCCTTCCATGTGCACCTTGCTTGAAAGCTGGTTATGAGTTGATGAGTGCGTTTGTCATTTGTTTTCCTTCCTCAGGCATGGCACATCATCAGCACCCACCGCAAGGGACATACCAGTAGGGTGTGCGGTAAAAGACTCTCCTGTAAGGTTTTTATTGCTGGGTCCCTGTTGGGGAAATTCGTTTTCTCTATTTGTCCTGGTGACCGTTATCCCTGACAGTGAAAGACATACCTAAACTTTGGGTTGTCATAACAACAGGTATAGAT